GAATTTAAGACATTGTGCCACATACATCGGTTAAACAATCTCTTGGATATTAATATTGGCTAAGATTAACCCTATTTTATTAGAAAATCTAATTGTTTAAACTTAGATCTAAATTTTAGGTCAAATAGAATCCATCACTGGCTCGAATCCAAGATCTCTAGTTAAGTATAAAGAGATCCTATTCGATATTCATCTCATCATCGTAACCTTTGGTGGTGTACTTTTCCGATATTGTCTCAAAAAAAGGACTTCATACAGAAAATGTTGCACCAGTATGTTTTGCAAGTGAATATCAAGATAAATGAACATATAGTAAGGTATTATATGCTTTTTTTCTTTAGACATCTGATATCCAAATTAGTAACTGGCGTAACTAATTTGAATTCACACCTGTTAAAGAAGCTAAAACGCTCTCTGCTGGAAATTGAGATCCTTGATTAAGGATAAAGCCGGATCTTAACCATCACACCACACTGCTCAGTGATCTCGTACATTAAATCATTTTCTTTCATCCAAATACGGACGCATTCAACAGTATTTTCTTGCAAACAATTGCAAGCATTGTTAACAACAACAACTACTAGTTGGATGACTGTTTGCTTACTATTATTGTGGATTCATACTTTGAAGTTTATGGATTTCTATAACAATATCAAGTTAGCAACTAGGTTCACAATCAAATATTTATAAATATTTAATAAAAAATTTAATACATATACAAGGACTGTACAAAAGCTACTGGGTACCCGGTAACCCGCGTGTCGCCCTCTAGATCTGCCACTGTTATTGTGTTACTATTATTTGATCATATGCGTAAAAGATAGGCCATGAGGGCTCGATGACTCAAGTTTAGCGACCGACTCAGGATTTTTATTGAAGGATCAAAATATAAAGAAATAATTATAAAAAAAAAAAAATCAAGGTGATCTAATATAGAGTATTATTACTATCAAATAAGGCGGGATAGCACACACGAGGTCAACATGCATGCTTGGCGTAACTGAGGGTATTTCAATAATTTCTTGAAAACTAAGCAACATGATTGGCCGAAAAATATTTCTACTGTAATTGTTTCATAAGATTTTCAATACCTTGACGAAACTACCCTCTGCTTATCTCATCAACCATCAGCACATCCCTTGTATCACTTTTTGAAGTTTAATTTTTGCCCCTGTTCTGATCCTTTACTACATAGTTCTTGTATGTGTTTTGGTAAAGTTGGCACCGTTAATATCCCGAGTAGCAACAAATGTGGTGTCAAAGAGAAACCTAACAATTGTCTTTGATTTCTTCTCCATGCATATATTTTCTCCATAATTCTTTTTTTTTTCACGGACCAATGTATTCTTAGTTTTATCTTTTGAAAATTGCAGGAATACTTTACTCAAGGATTCAAGCCTTTTTATTTTATTTTCAAATTGGACATACAATCTATTTATTTATACCTCTACTTTAAATAAATAAAGCAAGAGATATAATTTTACAACAAATTACATACATACTGATATATACAGTTGAACTCACAATGAAAGACTAAATCAATCCACACAGAAAATAAAGGCAAAATCTATCTTTGCGTATTTAAATGGAAAAGACTCAGTATTTTAAAGGAGTTTAGAATTGCATGCTAATTTTCATGGTTTGAAATGATAATTTATTTTAAAAAACATAACTTTAACAATTCAATCGTAAAGTTACGATCAGTCGTAATAGTTCAAAGATGAAAAATTTAAATTTAAATTTTAAATTAATATAGTTGATTTCATGAAACAACAATAATTGTTGCATATACTATTTGTTCTTGCATGCAAAAATATATGTTGTTATAAATAATGGATTATCTAGTATCTAGTCTAGTATATATATATAAATATATATAAAAGTGAAGAAGTTCCCCACTGCTCTAATCTAGGTTAAAATTAAAGATTAGTATATTAGTAGGAGAATGTTTTTCGTCTTTCTTCATGGTTCGTTTCTTCCATAAAGCATACGTATATTAGAAAAAATTTCCAACTTTATTAGCAGTTGAATTAAATGGGCAGCCCCACAAATCGACTGTAAATAATGTTACTTTTTTAAAAAACAAAATCTGTAGACCCCAATCATAATTTCAGGTTGCTTGATTAGCTTTAAAGTAATAAAAAAACAAAACTGAAAATGACGTTTCAAAGTACAAAGACCCTGCATGAAACTGTTTAATCACTCAAAAGGTATAATGAATCAGCTAATGCTTGCTTTTTTATTATCGGACAAAATTGTACTTACCACTTACGCAGTAGACCTGACCATCTTTTGCAATGTCCAAATTCAAAAGCCTTATAAGTACATTTTTTTAATTAATTCTATGATCACTGTCTTTTATCTTTTTTCGTCGCTGTCTAAAACTAGACCTTATATCAAGGTTTATTGCAGAATTGATAGGATCCCCGTCCTTAATTAGAGTTCTCGATCTGAACATTGTGTATGAAAAGAATTTTAGTAGTGAAAGCTTTTGTTAGTTTGAGTGCCCGTATGGATTACTAAAAAATTTGGTTCTTTACCGTGTTTCTTAAGCGTAAAGTAAACAAGCAATAAAATAAACACAACGATTTTTATGTAGAAAATCATCCGGCTCAAATGGTGCAAAATTCACGACCTACCACGTAGGATTTTCAACTCCAACTCTACTAGAACAATGAGCCAAAATGTATCAATTACAAGACTGTAATTAAATACTCTCCAGTACTCCTACTACTCATATTTGATTCACAAGTTACTCTAACTTGTAAAGCAAAATACTCGCTCCAACTCAAAATTGTTTATGACACTTGATTAAAACTCAATTTCCTAAAACACATTCACTAGACTGACTCGGAAATAATACAAGGCAAGTACTCAACATACGTAAACAACTTATGACTCTTTAGTTGATGTGTAAAAGGATAGTTCAGAAATCCAAAGTCGATCCTATTTAAAAATACTACTTGAGTTCTTCTAGGAGTCCTATTCATAGTCAGCTTCCTCTTTAATAGGACTCCTATTGTGCCAAGGATTCCACAAGCTTTGGGACTTTAGTCTCTTACTGAATTATTCATATCTTCTTGAGCAACGACCCTTATCACTTAAAGTAACAATCTTTAACCATACTCGGACCTGGGTAACTTTGAGATAAAGTTACTGTCTTGTACAGACGTACAAGTATCACTCATGAGGAGCTGATTCTTTCTCCTAAGGAGCTGATTCTTCAGAACAGTTAAGCAACTACGTTGAAGACTTGATTCTTTAAACATTTAGTCATACTTTGTTTATCATCAAAACTTCAATACTCAACAAATTTCCCCTTTTTGATGATAACAAATTTTATACACAGTAGAACCAGATAATCATATCAAAGAACCAGATAATCATAACAAGTACTATTGACAGACATGTATGTTCACAACACCTTCCAACCTTATCTTCCCCCTTTTGGCATTTTCGAAAACACACAAAAAAAATGTTAGACATTAAGCACAGATAATGTAGGATTCAAGGCCAAACAGGCTACATCACAAGTTTAAGAAAGGGCAAATAAACTAAGTTGATGATCCAATGTAGTACAAACCAGTAAAGTAGAGCAATAGGAGACATTAAGTAGTGCCAAAAAAATTCCAGAGCCTTGTCTTCATCATTAGAATAAAATAAACTAAGCATACTGCAAACTACTCAGACTAAGATAGAAAGAACAAAAGATAAGGCATCACTGGAATAACAAAAGAACTAATAACGCTGGTAAGAAATAGATTCATAGGTGAGAAGCAGAGGGGGTCAAGGCTTTCACAAGGGTGGAAATCTTTTGAGCATGAGCCTCCCTGTCTCTTCTGAGCTCTTCCCTGAATTGTTTTGTTTCCTTTCTCAACTCATTATTGTCTTCACAAAGCTTGGCATTCTCTTCAACAACCAACTCCAACCTCTTATTGAGTTTTGCAACCCTATAGCTCCCAGGAAGAATAGCAGATCATGTGGGTCCTCTAGCCTTGATCTCCTAATATCCACACTGATTGAGGGTAACAACATCCAAAACGTCATTGTGGTTTCTAAACTTAAGCTCAGGTGAGGCAATGTTGAGCTTGTCAAACAACTTAGTCAACATGAAACCATATGGCATAGCATGTTTGGGTTTGGAAGTATCTGCAGCTCTTGCCATGTGCTGAATCATCAGGCTAGGAAGATTGATAGGTCTACCAGTGTCAAGCAGCTCCATCACAACCATGTCCAGCAGAGTAGCTTCATGCCTTCTCTCAGACCTCTGAAGAATGCAGGGGTTGACAAAATGAAACAATAACTTGTGGAAGGGATTCATATCAGTCTTGTACACTTTCTGAGGAGCATCTAGTTCAAACTTTTGGGAGAACTTCCCCATGACCACAATGCCAGTTTCAACATCATTGTCTATGACTGGCCACTTCTTCTTCAAGTAATTCTCAAATCCCAAAGAGGAGATATTCAGAAGCATCCCCAACTCCTCAACATCAAACTCCCTGTCAAAGCCCCCTACTTTACTCTTGACTACATTCCCATCAAATGTGAAATTTGCATAGAACTCCACCATAGAAGGAATACATACTGGGGGAAAGCCTTGACAAACATGTGCTTCCACCCCTGTAGCTCAAGTTTTTCAACCAGTTGAGCCACCCTCTTCTCTTCAGTGTTCGCAAGAACCTTCCCATTTATCACTTTTTTGCTCTTGAACTCTGTGAGTCGATCAACTGCAGCTGGCACATTCTTTCTTGTCTTACCCCTACTGGCCATTACAGAAGAGATAGCAGGTTTGGTGACTTTGGCACCCTTTTTCTTTGGTGTAGTAGACTTTGCTGGTAAGGCAGAGTCAGATTCATCTTCTCCATCCACATCAGCAACAGGTTCCACAATTGAAACCATCTTCTTTATCTTCTTTGCACTTCTGGACTCCTTGATGATTTGTGCATCAACAAAACTTTTCTTTTACTCCTTGTGATAGGAGTTCTGGCAGGAGGAACCACTCATTTCCTTGTTGAGACTGCAGACTTTGTAGCTTTCACAGGGGTCTTCCTGGATTTCTTCCCTATCTCAAATAGTGGCACATCATCTTCATTACTGCTAACTTCTTCATCTCCAGTGAAAGGAGTCAACCGAGATCTAGGTTCTTGAGCCCTTGTCTTTTGAAGGGGCTATGACAGTGTTTCCAATTGTCATGGAACCTTCAGATTCCTCACTCACATTCCCCTCTTCTTCTTCCTCACTCTCTTCATCACCTCCTTCACTCTCACTTACCTTTTCTTGATCCTCACCCTCACTTTCATAAACCTCCTCTTCTTCACTCTGATTTTCTTCTTCTGCAGAATCATTAGCCTGTTCACCTGTCTTATCTCCAGATTCTCCCTCATTCTCACTCTTTTCTTCTTCATTGGCTATGTTTTGAGCATCATGTTCCTCATGATTGTTCACAACTTCTTCTTCTCTTTCAACCCCATCATCTTCCTCATCCTCAGTCTAACTAAAGGGAAGACTATTAGAAACCTCCTTTTGCACATGTTCTTTACTTTCTTCCCCTTCGGCCACATGCTCCATATCCGTTGTATGTACTTCCTTCCCCAGATCCCCTGCACCCTTTTCTACAGTGAATTTCTCCACTGGTGGCTTCTCACTTATAGGTGGGAGTGTATTTAGGGGTGAAACATCTATAGTGGACACCGAACCATCTAATTTGGAAGGAGGATATTGTACCTGACAAATAGTAACTTTCACTGATTGCCCCTGGACACAGATTCCTTGGCTATAGTGTCACCCTACGTACCAGCATCAGGCACTTTCTTGACAGATTTTCTTGGAGTGGCTTCGACCTTTGTTGACTTAGAGGTATTTTTCGCAGGAAGCTCAGGTGCATGGGTAGTTATTTTTGGAGAAGGGGATACAATGGAGGTGGAAATAATGGGAAAAACATGAACAGTAGGAACAGGGGATGATGATATAGGTATAGTGGAGGATATCGAAGGAGAAAGAGTAGGTGTGGGTGTGGGTTATCTTGAGGGCTGGGCATTTTTCTTCGATTTGGGCTTCAAGATTTTGGGTTTTGCTTCAGCCTTGGTTGATGATTTAGCCTTAGAGGGTGTTTGAGTTGCTTTAGGAATGGTGATTAGATGAGAGATTCGAAGAAGATAAAGAGAGAATTAGTTCTTGATAATTGCTTTTGATTCTTGCTTAGGGTTTGAGAGAAATAGTGAGGTTAGAGAAACTGATCATAAGAGCCTTTTAAAGGTGTTTCTCCTGACTTGACTGGAAAAGAGAAGGTGGCCGAATTTGAATTCTAACGGGACTCTTATAACAGTTACTTTGACCGTTAGGATTTCAGGAGTAATTGTTCTCTAATTGCACTAGAATTCCCGCTTACTCTTTGACTAAAACACAATTGGAAGTGATTCCAACGGAATTAAAAGTCTGAGCATACCAATTATTTTAGAATATAAAGTCCTAGTGACTTAAGACAATATGGCACGTACCTGAGTCAAAGAACCAACTCCTTATTTGTTTCTGCAATAAAGCTTTAACACTTCATATTAGTATCATACATCACAGTTATCAGCCAGATTTTCAAAGCAAGTGTGGGATCTTAATACAAGCACAAAGCTGAATCAAACACATTGTACATAATTATCTACTATTATGCCTTATCTAGCCAATCATTGGGATTCAACTTAGTGGGAGGAGTTGATTAGACCTAGTTCTAGTCTATTCCTTTCAAAGTGATCCCTACTCAGAGCTTTAGTAAAAATATCAGCAATTTGATCTTTAGTTTTACAAAAGTTAATTGAGATATTCCCCTTTTCAACATTGTCTCTGAGAAAGTGATGTCTAATGTCAATGTGCTTGGCTCTCTTGTGTTGGCATGATTTTTAGCAATGTTTATGGCACTGGTGTTATCACAGAAAATGGGAACACAATTAACAAATATACCATAGTCCCTTAGCTGCTATCTTATCTATAGCAACTGAGCACAGCAGGATGCTGCTGCCACATATTCAGCCTCACCTGTAGATAAGGCCACTGATTTTTGCTTCTTGGTTCCCTAAGACACCAGACAAGAACCTAGAAAATGAGCTGTTCCTGAAGTGCATTTCCTGTCGACATAAAAACCTACATAGTCAATATGAGCATAACCAACTAGATCAAAACTATACCCTCTGAGATATCTTAGTATCCTTTTGACAGTCTTCGGGTGGGATTCCTTGGGATTTACCTGAAATCTTGCACATAATCCCACACTAAACACTATATCAGGCCTGCTTACTGTGAGGTACAACAATGACCCAATCATTCCTCTATATAGTTTCTGTTCCACACTTTTCCCTTCTTCATCAAGGTTCAGCTTTGTTGCAGTTGCAATGGGTGTGTCAATGGACTTAGAGGAATCCATGTTGAACTTCTTCAGTAGTTCTTTGATATATTTCTGTTGATGTATCATGGTTCCAGTAGGTGTTTGCTTGATTTACAGCCCCAGAAAGAAGTTCAATTCATCCATCATACTCATCTCAAACTCATTTCCCATCATCTCAGCAAATTCCTTGCACATTGCTTCATTGGTATCCCCCAAAGATAATGTCATCTATATACACTTGCACAATCAGAATATTATTCCCTCTGCTCCTTAGAAATAGAGTGTTGTCTACTTTCCTCTTACAAAGTTGTTGGTTAAGAGAAATTTTGAGAGCCTTTCATACTAAGCTCTGGGAGCCTGTTTTAGTCCTTAAAGAGCTTTATCCAGTTTGAATACATAGTTAGGAAATTCTTCACTTTCAAATCCAGGAGGTTGTTTGACAAACACTTCCTTCTTTAGGTAATCATTCAAAAAGGCATTCTTTATATCCATCTGGTATAAAGTGAACTCCATGTGGGCAGCAAAGGCTATCAACATTCTTATAGCCTTCAATCTAGCTACAGGTAAAAATGTCTCATCATAGTCAATGCCCTCCTCTTGATTGTATCCCTGAACCACCAGTCTGGCCTTGTTCCTTGTGATATTTCTTTGTCCATCCAATTTGTTTCTCAACACCCATCTGGTACCTATGACAGTTATGTTCTTGGGTTTCTGTACCAGGTGCCAGACCTTGCTTCTCTCAAACTGATTAGCCCCTCTTGCATGGCTATGATCCAATCTAGATCCTTTAGAGGTTCTTTGATAATCTTAAGTTCAACCTGTGAGAGCAATGTTGTGAGTGCACATAGATTTCTTAGAGAAGACCTGGTTTGCACCCTGCATTTGGATCCGAGATGATATTCTCAAGAGGATGTGAGCTTTGATGCTTCCATGGTCAGATCTGTATACCCAGAGAAGATTCACCCGAGGAGTGACACAAAGGAGCAGGTTCAGTAGGTGTAGTTTCATTAGTCTGGTCAGCAGTTAGTGTAGTTCTTTCTTCTACTTGTTCCACATGATCATTGTTAATTTCCTTGTGTTTTTCAGATTCATCTTCATCAGATTCCTTTGTATCTCCATCACCAGTGAACCCCATGTCATAATCTTCATCCTGCAGACCTTTCTCAGCCAAGTTGTTAGATTCATAAAAATTAATATGAATATTTTCTTCCACACACATAGGTCTTTTATTAAAAACCTTATAGGCCTTACTATATGGAGAGTAACCCAAGAAAATTCCCTCATCACTTCTGTCATCAAACTTACCTAGAGCTTCTTTCCCATTATTATGCACAACATTTGCACCCAAAGGATCTCAGGTAATTGATGTTGGGTTTTCTTCCTTGAAGTAATTCATAGGGAGTTTTCTCAAGAATGGGTCTGACCATACATCTATTTAGCAGGTAGCAAGTAGTATTGATTGCCTCGGCCCAGAAATTCTTAGGCAGTCCACTGGCAATCAACATGGTCCTCCCCATGTCTTCCAAGGATCTATTATTTCTTTCTAAAACTCCATTTTGTTGTGGAGTTCTAGGTGCAGAAAAATTATGGTCAATGCCATATGAGCCACAAAACTCAAGAAATTTTGAATTTTCAAATTCAGTTCCATGGTCAACTCTTATACTTAAAATATTACATCCTAGCTTTTGTTTGATCATTCTAACAAATACACAGAAAACATCAAAGGTTTCATCTTTGAATTCCAAAAACAAAGTCCAGGTATACCTGGAGAAGTCATCAACAGTCACAAACACATACCTCTTACCTCTTCTGCTCCTTATTCTCATTGGTCCACATAGGTCCATGTGAAGGAGTTCCATAGGTTTAGAAGTACTTACAAACTTTTTAGATTTAAAGGATGACCTAACATGTTTCCCTCTAACACAGGCATCATATACCTTGTCGGAGGTGAACTCAAGTTTAGGTAGCCCAAGGACCAAGTCCTTTGCTGCCAACTTGTTGAGTTGAGAGAGACTGGCATGTCTCATTCCTCTATGCCATAGCAGAGGAACATATTCACTACACTCAAGCATATGTGCTCACACTCTGGGGAATTGACATAATCGATATCTTGTAGACATTGTTATGTCTCTTACCCTTTAATACAATTTCATCAATATCAAGCTTTGTGACAGTGCAAATTTTGGAATTGAATTTTACCTCATTTCCTTTGTCGCACATTTGAGAGATGCTAAGAAGATTGTGTTTAAGACCTACCACATAATACACATATTCTATATCATGAGAGAGTGACTTGCCAACCTTGCCAATACCTGTTATCTGGACCTTTTTCCATTTTCAAATGACACACTCCCTCCTTGGAAGGCTGTCAGTGAGAGGGAGTTTTTCTTTTCTCCAGTCATATGTCTTGAGCATCCACTGTCTAGATGCCAGTCCTGATTGTTTCCTCTTACCTTAGCCTGGTTTGCTTCATCTTCAATTTCTGAATCACTCATGGCCATCATTCCTATCACTTCTTCCTCTGTTTTGGATTTTTCAATCGCCATCAAAGCCACTTCGATGTTTTTATTTCCAAAGTCAGTTTCCAAGGTCCTCCATATATCATGAGTAGAGATACAAGAGGATACTCTGAGGAGAGTTTTTCTAGATAGGCTTCCGTAGAGTAAGTCCTTTGCTTTAGAATTTTTCTGAACTAGCTGATGATCTTCCTCATCGGATTCCTCTTCTTTTTTGTTGCACATGTTACCATCACTATCGAATTTGGTTGGAAAAATTGGTCCATGACTGAAAATTACCTATAGGTCAAAGTCAGTAGCTTGAAAAAATATTTCCATACGTAGCTTCCATTCATCATAGTGGTGTTCATCAAACAAAGGAGGTCTTCCAATGTGCATTCCAAGCTGTATTGGGGATTCTGTCTTCACATCTTGGTGTTCATCAATCACAGCATAAAGACTTATAGCCTCATCCTCTTTTTCTTCCTCTTGATCACTTCCACTGTCCTCATATGCTGCCAAGAATGCCTGCTTCATTACTTTAGCAAATCCTTTGCCTAGGAGTTTTCCTTTGTTGGAACCCTTTTCTCTCATCTTTTCGTGTTTCTCTTTTTCAGCTCGTTCTTTCCTCCGCTCAATTTCCCACATTGGGCAGTCCTTGACCCTGTGATCTAGCTTGCCACACTTATAGCACCCATCATAGTTAGCTTTGTCGATCTGCATGGGCTTACTACTGGTCTCTCTCTTGGATGCATTTTTGGAATTCTTCATGAACCTCTTGAATTTGGAAAACATTTCTAGATCAGGATCGTCATAGTCAGATTCATCATCCTCATACACTGTAAGAACCAAGGCCTTATCCTTATTTTCTTCTTTCTTGCAGTTCTATCTTTCTCATTTTATGAGTTTTTAAGTTTCCAACCAACTCATCAAGTAAGATTTTGTCCAATTCCTTGGCTTCCTGGATTGCAGTGACTTTTGATTCCCATGAAACTGGAAGGATTCTTAGAACTTTGCTAACCAACTCTTCTGAGGTAAACATCTTTCCAAGTGATTTCAGTTCATTGGTTATTATAGTGAACCTGGTCATCATATCCTGGATGGGCTCAGACTCCTTCATGGAGAAAAGCTCATAGTTTCTCACGAATAGCTCAATCCTTGATCTCTTTAATTGGTTTGTTCCTTCATGAGCATTTTGGAGTGCATCTCGTATCTGCTTCGCATTAGAGCACACAGAAATTCTATTGTACTCATCAAGACAAAGTCCACAGATAAGGATTTTCTTAGCCTTTGCATTCTTCTCCATCATTTTGAAATTTGCTGCCACAAATTCGGAGGGGTCCTTAGGAATTGTTTCATTTTGTGCACTTTGTTTAGTAGGAATCAAAGGACCTTGGTTCACTATGGTCCATAGTTCATAGTCTTCAGCTGTCAGAAAGTCTTCCATTCTTACTTTCCACCAACTGTAATATTTTCTATTGAATATGGGTGGTCTAGTAGTTGATTGTCCTTCATTAATTCTGGGTGGAGCACTCGTCTTGCTTCCAAGATCTCTCTAGGTGTTAGCCGTGTAAATGAAAGAACCTGCTCCGATACCAATTATTAGTTTGAGTGTCCGTATGGATTACTAAAGAACTTGGTTCTTCACCATGTTCCTTAAGAGTAAAGTAAACAAGCAATAAAATGAACACATCGATTTTTACGTGAAAAACCACCTAGCTCAAAATGTGCAAAACTCATGACCTACCACGTAGGATTTTTAACTCCAACTCCACTAGAACAATGGGCCAAAATGTATCGATTACAAGACTGTAATTAAATACTCTCCAGTAATCCTACTACTCCTATTTGATTCACAAGTTACTCTAACTTGTAAAGAAAAATACTCACTCCAACTTACTAATTGCTTATGACACTTGATTACAACTCAATTTCCTAAAACACATTCACTAGACTAACTCAGGAAGAATACAAGGCAAGTACTCAACACACGTAAAACACATTTGATTACAACTCAATTTTCTAAAATACATTTACTAGACTGACTTGGAAAGAATACAAGGCAATTACTCAACACACGTAAACAACTTATGACTCTTTAGTTGATATGTAAAAAGATAGTTCAGAAATTCAAAGTCGATCCTATTTAAAAATACCACTTGAGATCTTCTAGGAGTCATATTCATAGTCAGCTTCCTCTTTGATAGGATTCCTACTGTTCCAAGGATTCCACAAGCTTTGGGACTTTAGTCTCTGACTGAATTATCCATATCTTCTTGAACAACAACCCTTATCACTTATAATAGCCATCTTCAACCAAACTCGGACCTCGGTAATTTTGAGATAAAGTTATTGTCTTATACAGACATACAAGTATCACTCGTGAGGAGCTGATTCTTTCTCCTGAGGAGCTGGTTTTTCAGAAGAGTTAAGCAGCTACGTTGAGAACCTGGTTCTTTAAATATTTAGTCATACTTTGTTAATCATCAAAACTTCAATACTCAACAATGTGATGACACAAAATGTCATCTTTAAATTTAATAATTAATTATGCGATCTAAGAACTATTTACCATTACTCGACTTGCGTGTGCAGTCCGTAAAAAAATTTCCGAAAAGTTTTCATGTGAAAAATGGATTAAAATATGAATTAGATGCTTAAAATATAACTGAGTTGACTTTGGTCAATATTTTAAGCAAACGGACTCAGATCAGTATTTTGACAGTTCCGGTA